TTCATACATTATATCTTTAATTAATTTAAAATTTAGAAAGGTCTAGAGCAGTGTTTTTCAACCTTCTTGAATACGCGACCCCTTTACAAGTTAAAAAATTTTGCCGACCCCCTAGGACCATATTAAAACTATATCAGTGATTTTAAAAACTACGTATTTAATTTTCTTTCTGTTGAGACCTAAATATCAACCGAAAAACCAATTGTACTGTAAAATAAACAGGTCCAGCCTTCTCAACGAAATTGTAGGTTTTTTTTATTGTAGTGTAGTACCTACAAACACTTTTTTTTTACCTGTGACCCCCGTGTACGGCTTTGCGACCCCTCTGGGGGGTCACGACCCACAGGTTGAAAAACACTGGTCTAGAGATATCAGCTGTTAAAAATATCCTATTTTTTCAATTCAGTAAAGAGCATGGTTATATATTACCATATATACACTCTTTCTCTTGCTTCTACTAATATGAATCTTATGATTAACTGAAATATGGATCTAAAATAATTATTTAGCAAACTAAACAAATACTTTAACTAAGTTTACTACCAAATCAGTTGTTTGAGAAATTAATAATTTGAAAATAATGAATTAATTACCCCCAAATTTAACTTGCCATTATTGTCAGTTAATTCTCATACTGTGTAACATATTTGCATGAACTTAAGCTATACTTCTCATCGAAAAGAACAAATGTATAAACATCTGTATCAAAAACTTTTTTCAAATTGGCAAACAAGATATTTCCTTGTACAGCATTAGGAAGCATACTGCAGTTGTCATACTTAACAGTATTCTTTATACTGCAACATTATAGTAGAAGCATTAGCTCCACGCCACAATTACTTAGAATTGTTCTAAAACCACTCCTTACTATTAGAAGGATTATTTAATTGGAATCTAAAGAGATTTTAGAGGAATGCCAATAAAATTTTAGCCATTTTTTAAAGAATTAAACATTGCCAACAAGTTTTAACTGTCCGTAATGATGTAAGTGTATAATCAAAGCAACTTATCATCCATAAAAACATTAACAAAGTTTTAACTCCTTCAAAAAACTGTAAAACATTTAGTTTTATTAAAAAAGAAAAAAAACAAATGAATAACTTTAGTTTTTAAATAAGAATTTAGAAAAGAAGTAAAACTTTCAAATAAAAGAAAAAGAATTTAAATCTATTCCAAATTGTTCTCAACTAGTAAGATATTTCAAAAAGTTAAAAATATCCTTGACAAGTTTGATGTTACTTTGCAAATTTCCTTTTTAAAGTTGCAACATTATTCCCTGCATCCGGATCGAAAATAACTCATGTAGTTTAAGAGAATGTTTGTTTTCCATGACATTTATCACTTGGTAATGTTTGGGAGAATGGATACGCAGTTGTTTTCAGTCCCACCTAATGACGTTGTATTAAATTTAATACAAACTGCTTATAACTTTGTTACAGATGGACTCAAATATTTCCAGAATAAATGATTTTAGATAAGCAAATCGAATAATAAAGTGCGATAATGAATAATTTTATGTTATAAAGCTGTACTTGTTAGTAAATGTCACTTGAATAATTTAAAAATTATGGCTGAACAATAGCTGGTATCAAATTTAATCCAGTTTTATGAAGCAGTAGACTTGAATTTTGTATTTTTTTTTTAATTATGAAAATTTAGATAATTTACTAAATAAGAACTGCAAAAATTAATTCAATTTTCTGAATAAGATAGTAAATTTGTCTTGCAAATATTCTTATCAATTTATATACAAATTAATTTCCTCTTAGTCAAAACCAATCCAAAATTTAAAGAAATAAAGAATTTATTCTATTGCTTTAAATTGGATTTATGTTCAAGAAAAACCACTTTTTCTTATAGTGAAAACTTTCTAGAAAGTTCCAAGTACTTTCAGGCTGTATGCCCATCATTTAAAGTCATTGGGAAAAATAAAGTGGGACAGAGGATGCCAAGATTATTATTATAAAGACAGAAGATGCCAGGTTACTATTAAGTTAGTAATCTGGAATCTTCTCTTTATCTTTATTTCTCTTGTTGACTTTCGATGATTGGCACATAGCCTGAAAATGCATTTACTAAAAAATATTTGCTCGTAGAAAAGCCTTGAATGGTTTATTTTCAAAGATTTATTTAGAGAATGACTCCAAAACTGAATGTATAATTGTAAACCTTGATTTTGACTCATTAAAATGCCCAAAGAATAACATGTTCTTCTTTCAAACACAAATTTTTGGCCTTATCAGGTCTGAAGATCAACCATAAGGTAAATTTATTAGCTGTTTATGAGAATAGTTTAAATAATGGAAGACATTGTAAAGCTGTATAATTTGCAATATTTATACTGATTATAAATAGATGTGTTCTGTTATTGCAAGAACTGACATGAATGAGGAGTGTGAAATAACATTTCCAACTCTACCTATAATATATTAAAAAGATAAAGGAACAGGTTCAAACCCAGGCCTTTGTAACCTTAAGCCCTAACCTTTTGACTAAATAACTTTTCAATTTGGTACTCCTTTATTTAGCAAATGAACTATTCAAGTCATCTCATGATGATAGATTAATTTTTCTAATTCTAACACTAAAGAGAATGGTTAACCATAATAATGGTTGTATGCATTAATAACACTTGATAAGTCTATTTGTTACATAAGTCTATATGCTCTATTACTGTAACATTACACCATGTATAATGCTTTTACATATGTAATTAAACATGATGTTAATTTGACAGGATGATACAAGTGCCAAGTTTTAAAATTTAGAATCTCTGGCATCATTTCAAAACTTGCATTTAAACTCATTCAATTTTAGCTTTAACTTGGCTTAGAGAATAATATTTTTATTGTTACAATGGTTGTTTAATAACATTACATGATAACAACAGTCCTTAATTATTATTGATTTATCTATCTGAAAACAAATGTTTGTAAATAAAGAGTACCAAAGGTTTTCATTTACAGCTAATCTAAACATATTTATGAATGGACTAAAAAATATTCTTGGCTTAAAAAATTCTGCAGACCCACAGTTGATGAAATTCTACAACTCTCAAACAATTTTCAGATGTGTTTTATATATGAATATTTTTATTTTAATAAAAAAAAGTAAAAATTAAATATATTTTTGTATTGAACAATATTTGACTTATAATCAAATCTACTAAAAATGTGTACTTAGTTTAAAATTTGTTTATAATTATGAAACAAATATAAATATATTATATAACATGAAATGTTACATCTGAAAATTTAGTTACCAATATGTTTACTTAGATAAATTGCTAAATGAAGGTTTATCAAAATTCCAAAACATAAAGGAAACAAAATGAAAGCCAGGCCAAAACCAAAATGTATGTTTCCATTTTTAAAGAAATTCTTGCTGAAAACTAGCATAAAGTGTAATTAAAATATTTATAAAAACATACAATAAAATCTATTTACAAGGGATGAAAGCAAATGTTATACTGAGTATATAAATTAAATAATTCTTAAAAATTTTATGATATACTTTCAATGATAAATTAAGCTTAAACTCAGTTTAAATTGACTGTATATTTCTCTCATCACTCTGTAAAAATCCTTAATTATATTTTTTTCATGTATAATATTACAAAATATTTTACAGGCTAATGGAAAATCATGTCATACTTCTATTCTCAGCTAGTTTAATTTACCTTCAGCTGCCATATATTCTAAATTCAGCAATGTATTAAATGGAATGTTCTAAATTCAGTTTAATAGAAACAATGTATTAAATGGAATATAAGTGAAAACATATGAGATAAATTTGTAAAATTATTTTATACAAGAATGAAAACTAACAGTGTGATTGCACAAAGATTTCTCTTTATTCTGTAGTATTGTAGATACATTTTGTGCAGAAAAATGTATGCAAACATTGCTTTTAAGCATAAATAATTTATTTTAACTGATATTTTTGAGCACCACATCCACAATCAAATGCTTTCAATGTATCTCAATGAGTATTGCAGCTGTAATAAAATAAGTTAGGGGCTTGGCCCTTCTTATCTTTGTAAATAATTAAAAGAAGAAAAAAATCAAAGTACAGGAAAACAATCACTTATCTAAGAGTTTAGTCTTCATCCACAGTGACATGGGATGAATGTTACATTCTGCTTTTAGCCTTCCTAATAATGGTTTAGGGGACAAGACAGAATGAGAGTAATATAAAATATCTGATTACTAAAACCAGACACATTTGTTTACAATCAATCCAAAAGTAAAACAACTTTATTATCACTTGTAAATTAATCCTCAGTCACATGCAAACATGCTATATATAATCTTTTAATTTCATAACCATCATCTAATCCAGGGCTGCTGAGACATGGCCCCATTTGGGATCACAAAATTGAATACAGGGATGGTAAAAAATTTGACAACAGTAAAATTTTGCACTACATATTTATGCAAAGCCGCATTTTCAGCATTGACAAGTAGAAAATGAAAATGTCAATCAACTCTGAAAAGCATTGAAAATGTCCTATGTCCCGCATTATCACATATTTGGCCAAGACTTAATATTTTAAGTGAAAATAAACAAGCACATCCATCTCATTAGTATGCAAATTTGCTTTTATCTTTAATAAATGGCAAAAAATAGCAAAATAATATGTATCAAAAGAATTGTGTTGGAATAAATTGTAAAACAATTGTTTTACAATTTATCATCAGTAAGTAATCTTGTATATCTATACACTATAAAAGTTTTTGGGTAAATGGTCAGGAATGGAAAAATCAGATCCAAGTGCTATTAGGATTTTTGAAGGTAGGAATATGCAAACATTGATGCACAAAGTACTTCAATAAGTATATAAATTAATAAACAATAAATTAATTCATAATGAGAAAAAAAAATTCATTCTATTTTTTAAGTTAGAGTATATGTGGCAAGTATCAAAGCTTTATTTGTAAGAAGCACACTGTTATGCTATGCCATTAATGTGTCACAAAATATGGTTTAGAAAACATAACTTAGAAACTAAAATAATTATATTTATTTTCAAGACTCAACATAAGACTCGTTATTTAACAGTAATTTCAATAATTCGCTAATGACTCCGACATTAACACTGTTTCCTAATACTCTATACTGTTGTTTCCTAGTTACTGTTAATGGAAATTTAAAATGTTGGGGAAAGCACATTAAATTTGCAACTTCTGTAGGTGTAAAATATCTCAGTCTAAGCTTCTTAAGTAATTCAAGCTTTTCGGTTTCTTCTAAGTTTTTGTCTAATGTTTTCTGAAAGATTTCTGACATACTTACATCACAGTTTTGTCTTAAAATGGAACCCGTACCTTGAAAATAATGCCCGTAAGCTTTCGTAAAGCAACAACAATTAGAAGAACTAGCATCGACAATATCAAACACCATAGCATATTTCAAAAGGATACGATCACTTATCAGATAGGGATCTGTGCACCTGTCGCACTCTAAGTAATTCTGCAAGATGTCGCACTTTTTATCATCCAAAGAAGATGGCACATCGACGAATTCTCGAAAAATATCATCTGACGGCTTAAAACAAAACTGGAACGGTGATTTCTTGGCCAGTAGATAATACCTCAGCCTAGAATTAGGTATTCCAAACTGGACTGGACTGAGAAGGAATTCTTGGAAAACATATCCGCACTCATTTAACACTTCCAGAAGCATCCTCCGTGCCTCGGATGTCTCGAAACCTTTAACATTCTCCAAAAGTATGTAAGTAGGTCCATGTTGTACATGTTTCATTAACTGAATTATATGCAAGAAGGATGATGTTCTATTATCTAGACAGTCTTGTTTTAGTCCTACTCTTGTGAAAGGCTGGCAAGGTGGGCTCATAGTTAATAAATCAGCTTTCATATCATCTAATTCCTGAACAGTTAAAGAATGAATGTTCCTCTGGCAGTGATTTGAATGTGGAAAGTTAAATTTGTATATATCATTAGCAACTGTATTGATATCATAGGCTCCAATGATGGCATGTGGTATACAGGCTTTCTGTAATGCAAAATGCATCCCACCAATACCACTATACAACTCCAGCATCCTTAACAGTTTGGTTTTCTCATCTTTACCTCCAAAATTCATGAACTGTTCGCAACACGTATCATTTTTAGCCATCTTTTGGAGGAAACGATCACATTTTCCACATGGACAAAGTTTCTCAAAAGTTTCTACAGATGGCAGCACTAATCAATACTAACGAAAACGTTGCCACATCCGGAGTGCTGTAGCGCATCCGGATATGGCAACGTTACGCGTTACATTCTATTTATTATTTATCGCTCTTTTATAAATTAAAAGCTATATTTTTCTTCCTTGCAACATTACAAAAAGAAATGATATGATGTTATCGATAAATGATTATAATAAAATGTTAATTGCTTTTACCATGAAAATACTCTTTTACTTGTGATGGCGTATATTTCCTCAACACTAATACCAAGAGAAAGTTTTCCTAATGTTTTTCCTATAGGAAATTATCTAAAAAACAGTGGTTCTTTCTATTATACGTAATGTGTTTATTAGTCAATAATATATTATAAAAAATGAACAATACTTTCAAATGGAATGTTAATTTATGTATTGAAAATCATACTGTAATTTTAAAAAAAAATAAACTCTAGATGCGTTAAAATAAAATACTACGATGTATGCATGTTTTTCTGTGATAAATAAAAGTGAATGCCAATATGATTCCAGAAAAGAAAATTTCGTAGAAACACATTAAAGAAATGAACACAAGTTTTTGAATTTCATTTCGACGATTAATAAACTCTATGTCGTAAATATGTGTTGTTTCACTCAAATGCAAATAAATTGCATTGAAACCAACAGCGATTTCTTCACGATGAAACAAACAGTAAACGAAATAAACGAAGATTTTAAATGAAAATACAAGAGAAAAATATAATTCGAAATCTTTACCAAATAGTTGAACAATATTTTATGTGAAGTGAATCCTTTCTTCTCCTTGAAGTATCACGAACAATAATATATTGTTGTTACTTTAAGAGAGTGTTGTCTGTACGAAATACTATAGTGATAAGATCTCGTAACGAAATTTCTTTGCGAATTTTTAAAGGATAAATCGTGCCGAAAAGTTGAAGGATTTTGAAATTATGGATGAATTATTTCATGAATTTGTAAGAGTTAGACCATTGAATTTTGAAATTCATTATGCACTATGCTATTTCAATATTTCTGAAGCATGAAGTTGATGAATGGCAGAGTGATGAATTTTATATCAAAGTTTTCAAGTTTTTTTCCTACTGTACCATAAATAAAATGGTACAGTAGAAAAAAAAGGTAAAGTATTTTTCCAATGTTGTTGTTGTTAAGTTTCATCAAGTCGTCTTCGACTCCTGGTGACTGCATGGACAAGTCTTTCCTTGTCCATGTAGTTTACTTGGCAAGAGTTGAGGAAGTGGTTTGCCATTGCCTTCTTCCTTGAATGATGTGTCACACGCGCGCGGGAAAAGAATGCCTTCCGGGAGGACTTTTATAGGGAACTGGCCTCCTATTTAGTCGTTATTGGCAAGGAGAAAACCCGGAAAACTCCAAGCAGCCAGCCTGTCCGATCGCGGCACGAACCCACGACCGAGCTTCCCAGTGCACAGGGTCCAGTCACCACCGCTATGAGCGGCAACGGAGACCAATTGGCCACTGGTGGGTCAAGTGGTCTCCGTTTTCCAATGTATTTTAGTTATATTTACTTGAATAATAACGGTTTACAATGAAGAGTTCATGCTAATACCGTTATATTTTCTGCGTTTACCTATTTAACTCTCAAACAGTGACCAATATTAGATAAAAGTCCACGCAGGAACAGGTCCATCCTTGGCAAATAGCTGTTTTATGTTGCATTTTATCCTTAACCCAGTCATTCACTCATTTCAATTTAGCTATACAGTATTTTATGGATTCTGTCGTTATCATAATTATCAAAATTATCATCAAAATAATAAGTTGAAACAATATAGTTTTCCAATCAATTGCAAAATCCGCATGTTTCATTTTACAAGACAACGGAATCATTTCGACTAGGGGTTCCCAACCTTTTTGTGGCGCGAAGGCATTCGAGATTGCAAAAAATAGCGGCGGGCGCAAATCGGTTGTAAAAAGAAAAAAATTAAATATTATGTTCTTTATTATAAGATGCATTTTGTAACATATATTTATTATAAAAGTTGAATTAGAACGATTTTTGACACTGCATTTAATTTGCTAATTTCTCACAGTTGGGAGTATAAGATGATACAGTAATCCCAATCATAAACAATCTGCAAGATTAGTAAGTTGAGATCTGATTTTTGATTTTATAATATTCATAATGGAAAATAAAAATTCGCACAAATATGTGGAACAAAAACAGGATCTGATTTTGAAGGATTCTTTTTTCAAAAGATTTTATTTCTTATGATCAACAAAATTTTAAAAGTTTTTATCCGTATCGTGAGATTTTAATATAATGTCATTTTAAAAATCTAAAATCTCCTTTTCAAGTTTTGCTACAGATTTAGCAATGTCAGTAATGTCTACTTGTATTTACAAAAAATGTAGCCACGGGGTCAGTAATGGTAAATTTCTGAAATCTACTTTCAAATTGTTCCAAAAGTTTTTAAGATGAGTAATAAGTAATGTTAGGTCAATTATCTTCAGCAGTTACTTTTTTCATCAGTGTACAAGAGAATTTTTCGAAAATATTGTTTATCCAAAACTGTATTTTGGCTCTGAATGCTTTTATGGAGCTAATCATTTCCAGCTAAACGTTTGTTTTTCCGCGGAGTCCAGGATTAAACTGGTAAATTTTTTTTACATATATCAGTTAAAAAAGCCAAGTCCATCAACCATTGTAGGTTATCTAATTGTTCAAACGTTTGACCTTTTGAAATAACATTTTTTTAATCTCTTCCAAAAGATCAAAAAATTGGCCAAGTACAGTTTGCTTTTACCTACCATCTTATATCCGTATGTTAGATAAAGTCAGCTTGGGAAGATTTGTCCTTTTCTACAAGGGTTTTAAACTATCTGTGTGATAAAGGATTTGTTCGAATTTTGTTAATTATGTTAACAACAACATTCATAACATGTTCAAAGGATAATATTTGGCACATAATGATTCTTGATGTATGATGGAGTGACAAGGTCCGCAAAGGATTCGTCTTTCTTACAATGAGAAATGAATCCATTATTGCAGCCCACCATTGCTGGTGCGCAGTCAGTAGGCTAATTATTACTGATAAGTTGTGTAAAGCAGTGTTCCGCAACCTTTTTCTACTCGCGACACACCTATGACTCGAAATGGCTCAACACGGCACACCAAAATGTTACTCCCCTCAAAAACGTATGATATGATACTATTAGTGGAATTTCGTAATGCCATAAACCTATTATTATTATTATTATTATTATTATGTTGAGTTTTGTGAGTTATACTTGGTTGACACCGATGGCTGTGTACTACTATGCCGGACCAGAGTCAAGGCATAGTAACCAAAACAAGACAAAAATTAAATAAGTGTGTCAGTGTGTGTCTGTACTCAGAAATTTCCTAACAATACGACATGCATTCAATGTAGTGGCCTTCTGTAGTGTGATGTGTGTTTCTATTCAATTTTAATGTTCCCAGGCTTTTGTGTAGCGTGTGTGGTATGACACCTTTACAGGAGAGAACGACAAGTACAATAAGCACCCTATCCATCCTCCATACATGCTTTAGTTCCTGGGCGAGTTCTGTGTACTTGCTGATTTTTTCACTGCATATGTTTTATACAGTGTTTGGAACAGATATGTCTATAATGTATATGATTTTACTGTGTTTGTCAATGAGTGTGATGTCTGGTCTGTTGTGATAAATTGTTTTATCTGTGATTATGGCTGTTGTAGTACATTTTGTGCGTGTTGTTTTCCAATACTGTCTGTTGAACGTATTTGTAGTATGGTTCGTAGATATCTAATAATTTGTGTTTTTTTTGCAAGCTCTTGATGTATTATATTTGCTACTTGATTATGTCTGTGTAAATAAATCTGTCTTTGCCAAGAGCTTGCAACCAGATGTGATGTGATGTATGGTTTCTGGCATGATATGACATTTTCTGCATGTGTCGTTTGTGATTGTTGTATCTTCGAGTATGTGTTTTCTGTAGTTTTTAGTATATATGTCCTGATCCTGTATGGCAATCATAAATCCTTACGTCTCCCCAAAGAGGCAGCCACGAGCTAACCAGCTGTTTGACGCAGTTTTGTCTACAAAATCCTGGGGCAGGTCATAGCAATGTCTGCCATGGAGTACCTTTCGCACCCATGATTGCTTAATGGTGTCTATGCTATTTATATGTTGTGTCGTGTCCATACGTTGTGAATGTAAATTTAATAGTGTATTATTTGAGTCTGCTAGAATTACTGTTTTATGTAACTGTGATGTTTCTTGTTTTTTGTAGAAAAACTGTTGCAATGTCTGTATTTGTTTGTAGTGTAGGTTAACTATATCGATCAGGCCACGTCCGCCATTTTTAGGTAAAAGGATTAATCTTTCTATGGCAGATTTAGGATGATGTTGTTTATGCTTAGTAAGTGTTGTTCTTGTTTTCATTTGGAGTTGCTCAAGATCTGTGTGAGTCCAATATATAACTCCAAAAGAATAATTGAGTACTGGGACGACATGTGTTTTATTGCTTTAACGTCATCTTATTCATCAGTGAATGAAATAGAAGCATAAGAAACACAACAACTATGATAAAAATATATAAATAAAGCGTGAAATTAATAGAATCATGTAAAAGTTCACGTCACACCTTTCACCTTGTGACGGAACACCAGTGTGCCGCGGCACACTGGTTGCGGAACACTGGTGTAAAGGCATATTAATTTCTTTTAAGTAATTTTTAAATATATTATAAATATCTTTACCCCTTGTTCGCTCTTGCATTGATAGTAACTTTATAGTTCTTTCACACTAAAATCACTAAATACCATTCTTATCATTACTGCTAATTGCACTATATCTGATACAGGCCCGTCTTTAGGTGTGGGCCTACCGGGCCAGGGGCCTCCTAACATTCGAGACCTCGAAAGTATGCAAAATTGAACCCCTGTGGGTGTTTTCTCAGTGACGCGAGGCACTATGTGCTTGACTGTCCTCTTACTGAGGACTTTCACAGGACAGTCGACAACATCGAC